AGCTCACCACACCAAGCACAACACCCAGCACCACAAGCACAGCACAGCACCACACCAGCACACCACACCACCAGCACAACACCCAGCTCACCACACCAAGCACAACACCCAGCTCACCACACACAACACAGCACCACCAAGCACAACACCCAGCACCAGCACACCACACAACACCCAGCTCACACACACACAACACCCAGCTCAGCACCAAGCACACCCAGCTCACCACACCAGCACAACACCCAGCTCACCACACCACCACAACACACAGCTCACCACACCAAGCACAACACCCAGCTCACCACACCAAGCACAACACCCAGCTCACCACACCAAGCACAACACCCAGCTCACCACACCAAGCACAACACCCAGCTCACCACACCAGCACAACACCCAGCTCACCACACCAAGCACAACACCCAGCTCACCACACCAAGCACAACACCCAGCTCACCACACCAAGCACAACACCCAGCTCACCACAGCGAGCACAACACCCAGCTCACCACACCAAGCACAACACCCAGCTCACCACACCACCACAACACCCAGCTCACCACACCAAGCACAGCACCCAGCACCACACAAGCACAGCACCCAGCACCACACCAAGCACAACACCCAGCTCACCACACCACAGCACAACACCCAGCTCACCACACCACCACAACACCCAGCTCACCACACCAAGCACAACACCACAGCACACAACACAGCACAACACCCAGCTCACCACACCAAGCACAACACCCAGCACACCACACCAAGCACACACACAGCTCACCACACCAAGCACAACACCCAGCTCACCACACCAAGCACAACACCCAGCACACCACACCAAGCACAACATAGCACCACACCAAGCACAACACCCAGCTCACCACACCAAGCACAACACCCAGCACCACCAAGCACAGGTGAACAACAGCGGCATTGAGCCGTCACGTTATACTATAGGGAAGGAACATTTAGCTCAAGAAAATGTTGATAAATAGCGTGGCCGCTGACTGCAATCATTTTAATCTTCCCTTTGAAAGACCTTAGTGTGTGTGTGTGTGTGTGTTGGAGGAGCGGGGGAGGGGGAGGGAGGATTAAGGTGTGTGTGTGTTTACTCTTTGAATTTGCTATTTGTGCCGTCAGGATCGATCTGTTAGCTCTTGGACCCCGACTTTCTAACCACCGGTTGTCTAATGTACTGTCTCTCGACCCATTTTTCCCTCTGTCATATGTGCTACATATATATTTCTCTTTAATAAACACACACATATATCCAGGAAGCAGCCCGATCGGCCACCAGGACCTGTGTGTGTGTGTGTATTTACTATTTGTGCCTGTGGAATCGAGCTATTAGCTCTTGGACGCCGCCTTTCTACCCACTCTATTTTTCCTTTGTTATATCCACTACATATATTAATCTCTAACACGCACACACCCACATTCCCAGGAAGCAGCCCGTAACAGCTGTCTAACTCCCAGGTACCTCTTTATTGCTAGGTGAACAGGGGCACTAGGGTGAAAGAAACTGTCCATTTGTTTCCGCCTCGGCCGGGAATCGAACCCGGGCTCTTTGGGCTACGACCCCCGAACGCTGTCCACACATCCGCGAAGCCCCCGTGTGTGTATGTGAGAGTGTACTCGCCTAATTGTACTCACATATTTGTGTCTGCAGGATCGAGCACTAGCTCTCGAAACCCCGCCTATTTAGCCGTCGGTTGTTTAAGAAATGGCTCCTGTCCTATTTCCCTATCATGTCTACTTTTAAAATTATGAATGGAGGTTGCTTCCACAACCTCCTCCTTGAGCTCATTCAATTTTGTTACCACTTACGATAAATGAAAACTTGTTAACGTCTTTATCTGAGTCACAAGCTTCCACCTATGCCCTCTTGTTCCATTGGCTTTATCGGGAATATTTTCTTAATTTCCACTCTGTCAATCTCCTTAAGTATTTTATATGTCTTTATTATGTCTCCCATCTCTATCATTTATTCTAGCGTCGTCAGGTCCAGTTGTTTCAGTCGCTTTTCATACCCTATTAATTTTGGGACGAGCCTCGTCGCAAACGTCTGACATTTTTCCAGTATCCTTATGTGTCTCTTTAGTTGGGGCTCCATGATGGGGCGGCATACTGAGACTGGTCTCACATAGGCAGTGTCAAGCCCTCTAAATACCTCCTTATTTAGGTTCCTTATTTAGGTTCTTTAATATTTGCTAGTGTAGAGTATGCTGCTGATGTTATCCTACTTATATGTGCCTCTGAAGTTCCATTTATTTAGCTTCCATTTATATAGAACATTCTCATATATGTGTGGCTCATTTGTGTCTCATATTTCAATCTGTCACCTCATTCTTGCGCACTCTACTCTATACCATGATTGTATAGAGGGTCCCTTATAAGGGGTCTCGGTGGTACAGTTGGGTTTGTTCTTGTGTCACAGTCGAGAATTTCGGGTTTGAATCCCGGGCGTGACAGAAATGGTTTAGGCACATGTCCTCTCACCTAATGCCTAACATTCTTCTAGCAGTAAATAGGTACCAAGAAGTTATCTTTTTTGTGGGATTCCATCCTGGGGAAGGTCAGTGGTTCGATCTTGGGCAACCTCAATACAAACTTAACATAATAAAATCACAGGAAGTTTGGAGGCTTTTCCTGAAGCTAGTCCAAGTGTTGACGTGTGACCGGCCAAGCACTCGAGTGAAGGGTTATCTTGAGATGATTTCGGGGCTTTAGTGTCCCCGCAGCCCGGTCCTCGACCCACAGGAAGCAGCCCGTGACAGCTGACTAACACCCAGGTACCTATTTTACTGCTAGGTAACAGGGGCATAGGGTAAAAGAAACTCTGCCTATTGTTTCTCGCCGGCGCCTGGAATCGAACCCAGGACCACAGGATCACAAGTCCAGCGTGCTGTCCGCTCGGCCAACCGGCTCCAACCTAGGGTGACCTAGGGTGAGGTAGGTCAACACCGGACGCCCCGGCCAACTTTACATACACACCAAAAATAACACGAACGTGATTTTTTTCTGTGCGTTCTAAATGCTCCTTAGATTTTTCCTTAAATTCTCTTGTATATTGGTACCAATTTGGCCGTTTTCAAAATTTTTGGTAGGTTTCCCTTTCCTTGTAAAGAACTTTTATTTTTATTTGTTTAAAAATAACAAATATATATATGTACAAATAAAAGAAAAACAATGGAAATCCTTGCAATTACAAAGAACCTAACATACATAGAACAGCCAACATACACAATTATCACACGCCTAACAACTCTCAGAAATATGTATGCGTAATAACACAACACAGAAGTAAAGCCACACACCAAAGTATAGCAACATTGCAACACTAATACAAATATTTGTTAAGTTTAGATTAGTTCATTTATTATGCACCCCATACCCATCTTGTGGGCGGTAGTGGCAAGGGTTACAGAGGCACACAATGGGCTCAGGGACTGAACCCCACAATTCATTTAGCTAAGCAAGTTACAATCTTGATGAGCTAGTTACAAAATTCATAATATTTGTTAAGAAAACACTTTGTACAATTATGACAACAGAAAGGGCGGTCATCCTACACATTGTGAAGAACTGAATAATATAGCAAGAATTGCTATATACTATATATATAGTATTGATATATACTATAAATAGCTTTTTGTGTGTATCACCTCCCCGGCTTGGCGCCGTCTTTGGGTAACTCCTTACGGGTACCTTAAGGTGCTTCCGGGGATTAGCGTCCCCGCGGCCCGGTCGTCGACCAGGCCTCCTGGTTGCTGAACTGGTCAACCAGGCTGTTGGACGCGGCTGCTCGCAGCCTGACGTACGAATCACAGTCTGGTTCATCAGGTAACTACTTGGTAACTACTTAACTTTGTGTGTATCAATAATGAGATCTTGTTGTTTGTACCTGAACCTTTCATCACATCCTGTAGTTGGTCTCTTGACTCTTCTGTTTATCACACATACTGTGGTCAGTCTGTCCTGTGTGTGTGTGTGTGTGTGTGTGTGTGTGTGTGTGTGTGTGTGTGTGTGTGTGTGTGTGTGTGTGTGTGTGTGTGTGTGTGTGTGTGTGTGTGTGTGTGTGTGTGTGTGTGTGTTTGGTCTCCAGAAACCCTTAGATGGCATGTAAACTCAGATTCCAGCTGGAAATCATCTGGGGAAACTTTCCGTGAACACTTTGCATACTAATCATTACCCGGTCGTTTACAGACATCTTCCTCATCTGGCTATGAATCAGTTTAGGTCCTTGGCTCTGGCTGATATATCATTTTCATATTACAAAGGGCTCTCCAGACGACAATAAATAATATCTTCTCTGGCCTACAAGCCTTGGTTGGGGGGGGGGGAGGGTAGGCTGGGTAATGGTTGGTTGTGGGGAAATGGGTAGTGGGAGCTGGGTAATGGTTGTCAGGTTGCAGTAATGGTTGTTGGAGAGAAAGGATGCGGAAAGGAAGATGGCAGGTAGTGAAGGGACGAAGGGAAAGGGGTAGGGAAGCGTGAAGGGATAGTGAAGGGTGAAGGAGCGGGATATGTTACACTGGTGTGAGCGGAAGCGGAGTACAAAACAGACCAAACATTAATAACAAAATTCCCCGGGTCTCAAAAGTTAACAACATCTTTAACTCTGCCTCTGTAATCACCGAGAATAAGAACATTTAGCATGCCAGTCGCGTTTTTTACCGCTGGGACTCGTTTTATAACATCACGACAAGGGGGGGTCAAACACAGGCCAGTGATCTGAGAAGTTTCAACACCCGCTGGCCACGACGCAACATCATATCCTTTCGGAATTAACACCTGGACACACATACAACACACACGTAACATCCTCACATCCGCTACAACCCATAACATTCCTCCCTCCCACACATTCCCCGCCTCGTGCAATATTGCAAACTCAACAAATCATGTCAGCATTCACTCTACTGCGTCTTTGTTACTTCTCTTTCCAAATTTCAAAATGGAATAAAAATCAAGCAAATAATAAAAAAGGGAACTCATAGTCTCTTGCTGATGTCCACGAGGGCCTGCTGGTGTCCACGAGGGCCTGCTGGTGTCCACGAGGGCCTGCTGGAGTCCACGAGGGCCTGCTGGTGTCCATGAGGGGCTGCTGGTGTCCACGAGGGCCTGCTGGTGTCCACGAGGGCCTGCTGGTGTCCACGAGGGCCTGCTGGTGTCCACGAGGGCCTGCTGGTGTCCACGAGGGCCTGCTGGTGTCCACGAGGGCCTGCTGGTGTCCACGAGGGCCTGCTGGTGTCCACGAGGGCCTGCTGGTGTCCACGAGGGCCTGCTGGTGTCCACGAGGGCCTGCTGGAGTCCACGAGGGCCTGCTGGTGTCCATGAGGGGCTGCTGGTGTCCACGAGGGAATGCTGGAGTCCACGAGGGCCTGCTGGTGTCCATGAGGGGCTGCTGGTGTCCACGAGGGCCTGCTGGTGTCCATGAGGGGCTGCTGGTGTCCACGAGGGCCTGCTGGTGTCCACGAGGGCCTGCTGGTGTCCACGAGGGCCTGCTGGTGTCCACGAGGGCCTGCTGGTGTCCACGAGGGCCTGCTGGTGTCCACGAGGGCCTGCTGGTGTCCACGAGGGCCTGCTGGTGTCCACGAGGGCCTGCTGGAGTCCACGAGGGCCTGCTGGAGTCCACGAGGGCCTGCTGGTGTCCACGAGGGCCTGCTGGAGTCCACGAGGGCCTGCTGGTGTCCATGAGGGCCAACTGGTGTCCATGAGGGCCTGCTGGTGTCCACGAGGGCCTGCTGGTGTCCATGAGGGCTGGTGTCCATGAGGGCTGCTGGTGTCCACGAGGGCCTGCTGGTGTCCACGAGGGCCTGCTGGTCCACGTGCTGGTGTCACGAGGGCCTGCTGGTGTCCACGAGGGCTGCTGGTGTCCACGAGGGCCTGCTGGTGTCCACGAGGGCCTGCTGGTGTCCACGAGGGCCTGCTGGTGTCCACGAGGGCCTGCTGGTGTCCACGAGGGCCTGCTGGTGTCCACGAGGGCCTGCTGGTGTCCACGAGGGCCTGCTGGTGTCCACGAGGGCCTGCTGGTGTCCACGAGGGCCTGCTGGTGTCCACGAGGGCCTGCTGGTGTCCACGAGGGCCTGCTGGTGTCCACGAGGTGTCCTGCTGGTGTCCACGAGGGCCTGCTGGTGTCCACGAGGGCCTGCTGGTGTCCACGAGGGCCTGCTGGTGTCCACGAGGGCCTGCTGGTGTCCACGAGGGCCTGCTGGTGTCCACGAGGGCCTGCTGGTGTCCACGAGGGCCTGCTGGTGTCCACGAGGGCCTGCTGGTGTCCACCAGGGCCTGCTGGTGTCCACGAGGGCCTGCTGGTGTCCACGAGGGCCTGCTGGTGTCCACGAGGGCCTGCTGGTGTCCACGAGGGCCTGCTGGTGTCCACGAGGGCCTGCTGGTGTCCACGAGGGCCTGCTGGTGTCCACGAGGGCTGGTGTCCACGAGGGCCTGCTGGTGTCCACGAGGGCCTGCTGGTGTCCACGAGGGCCTGCTGGTGTCCACGAGGGCCTGCTGGTGTCCACGAGGGCCTGCTGGTGTCCACGAGGGCCTGCTGGTGTCCACGAGGGCCTGCTGGTGTCCACCAGGGCCTGCTGGTGTCCACGAGGGCCTGCTGGTGTCCACGAGGGCCTGCTGGTGTCCACCTGCTGGGCCTGCTGGTGTCCACCAGGGCCTGCTGGTGTCCACCAGGGCCTGCTGGTGTCCACCAGGGCCTGCTGGTGTCCACCAGGGCCTGCTGGTGTCCACCAGGGCCTGCTGGTGTCCACGAGGGCCTGCTGGTGTCCACGAGGGCCTGCTGGTGTCCACCAGGGCCTGTTGGTGTCCACGAGGGCCTGCTGGTGTCCACCTGGGCCTGCTGGTGTCCACCAGGGCCTGCTGGTGTCCACCAGGGCCTGCTGGTGTCCACTAGGGCCTGCTGGTGTCCACCAGGGCCTGCTGGTGTCCACGAGGGCCTGCTGGTGTCCACCAGGGCCTGCTGGTGTCCACCAGGGCCTGCTGGTGTCCACCAGGGCCTGCTGGTGTCCACCAGGGCCTGCTGGTGTCCACCAGGACCTGCTGGTGTCCACCAGGACCTGCTGGTGTCCACCAGGGCCTGCTAGTGTCCACCAGGGCCTGCTGGTGTCCACGAGGGCCTGCTGGTGTCCACCAGGGCCTGCTGGTGTCCACGAGGGCCTGCTGGTGTCCACCAGGGCCTGCTGGTGTCCACCAGGGCCTGCTGGTGTCCACGAGGGCCTGCTGGTGTCCACGAGGGCCTGCTGGTGTCCACCAGGGCCTGCTGGTGTCCACGAGGACCTGCTGGTGTCCACGAGGACCTGCTGGTGTCCACGAGGGCCTGCTGGTGTCCACGAGGGCCTGCTGGTGTCCACGAGGGCCTGCTGGTGTCCACCAGGGCCTGCTGGTGTCCACCAGGGCCTGCTGGTGTCCACGAGGACCTGCTGGTGTCCACGAGGGCCTGCTTGGCCAACTGCTACGCCGTTCTTCACCGCCTGTCGTGTTATTACGAGCTGGAAGCCAGCCGTTTAGCCTAAGATAGATCCGTGTTAAATTACAGCGTGTGGAAGCCTAGCGTCGACACCCGTTTTTCCTCCTTCTGAAAATAGGATTCATGTGAAAGTCGCTGTTATTATTATTATTAATATTATTATTATTATTATTATTATTATTTGTGTGTAAGTGTTATTTGTTAAACATTTACAAAAGTTGTTAATAATGTGCATTTGTTTGTATATTTTTATCATTCAAGGATAAAAAAAGCGGTTGACTAAAATGACTAAATTGTTCTTGTTGACTAAAAATCAGTGACACGTGCATTATTTAGAAGCATTCTTGAGTCTCATTTGTTTTGTGTTTGTCGTCTCAATGGGCACTTATAGGTACAGGTCCCTATATTCCTTGGCAGGTTGACCAGGTCGTTATCTCTAGACAATTTTGACATACGTCAAGACAATTACACGTGTAATTGAAGAGTAAACAAACGAAGACTCGGGATAAGTAAAAAGAAACATGACAAGAGGCGCGATATATCTCTTGTATATTGACATATATAAGAGAATCTATACTATAAGAGAAAATGTCGGTCCGTTGGAATTTGGTTTATTTTCATGTGTCGATTTTTTTGGGGGTAAGACTAGCCCCAAGCATTAATATATTTATCTTCTAACAAAGTGGGCGCTGGTGTGGGTGTGTTGGCGCTGGTGTGGGTGCTGGTGTGGGCGCTGGTGTGGACGTGTGGGTGCTGGTGTGGCTGTGTGGGTGCTGGTGTGGGTGTGTGGGTGCTGGTGTGGGCGCTGGTGTGGGCGTGTGGGTGTTTGGGTGCTGGTGTGGGCGTGTGGGCGCTGGTGTGGGCGTGTGGGTGCTGGTGTGGCTGTGTGGGTGCTGGTGTGGGTGTGTGGGTGCTGGTGTGGGCGTGTGGGTGCTGGTGTGCGTTCAATAGTGAACTAAAGAAGATGCATTGCTTCACGCAGTTCCTCATCTGTCACCCTCACTCTCTCTTCCCTTCGTCCCTCCGACGTCCTTATCCTCGCCTCTCCCTCTTCCTTGTGCCTTCCTTCCCTTTCTCTCATCCTCTTCGTTACGTTCGTCTCTTTGGCTCTTCTTGTTCGTGGTCTCTTCCGTCTAGTGGCCTCCTATTTTTCCATTCTTCCTGTTTCTCATTTATCACTGTTCCGTACCTCTTCCTGGCTCTGCCTTTTCCTTGCGTGATCCTTCTCCCTGTCTTCTACCTTCTTCCCTGGTTCGATTCCCGCACAAGATTGTGCGGGAATCGAATTATTATTATTAACATCTTCATTGACAAAAATTAATTACAATTTTGCCTAATTTGAGTGATTCAATTAGGTGTTATTAAAGTGAGGATAATGGTGGTATTCACTGCCACACAGGCCAGAGGGTCATACACAACACAATAGGTCCAAACTGTCGGCTGAAGCACACACGAAGGTGACAGATGAGAACGTCGGAGAATGTCGACCGATCTAACTTTTCATTTTGGACATTTCTCTCATTCTCGCAGGGAGCCGGTCGGCCGAGCGGACAGCACGCTGGACTTGTCATCCTGTGGTCCTGGGTTCGATCCCAGGCGCCGGCGAGAAACAATGGGCAGAGTTTCTTTCACCCTATGCTCCTGTTACCTAGCAGTAAAATAGGTACCTGGGTGTTAACCAGCTGTCACGGGCTGCTTCCTGGGGATGGAGGCCTGGTCGAGGACTGGGCCGCGGGGACACTAAAGCCCCGAAATCATCTTAAGATAACCTCAAGATAACCTCCTTCCATCTCCATCTTGGTAACTTTCTGGAACTAAATGGCCGGATTATTTTACTCTTGTTCATATTTACTTTCTCAGATGTCTATAGACTACAGTTTGAAATTTTTGAGAGGGAATTTCTCTCTCTCTCTCCGTCTATTTTTTGATGGGGTTAGGAAAGTTAATTGGGGGGGGGGGGGAATAATAATAATGATATTTATAGGAGAAAGCGCCAAGCCATTACGACTATATAGCACTTGGAAGGGACCCGGATAAGGATTTGGGATGGAATAGGGGGAAGGAATAGTGCCCAACCACTTGGACGGTCGGGGATTGAACGCCGACCTGCATGAAACGAGACCTTCTTTTGTCTCTTGGTGGTGAGTGGGGGGGGGGGGGGTAAGACATTGTCTTCTGCGTGTCCTCGCTTTCTATCCTCACCCTTTTTTTTTTAATCCCTCCATAGTCTCCAAGTTTTCCTCCCACTTGTTTCTCCTTTCTGTTTATCATTCTGTGCTTCCTAAACCCCTATTTGTTTCTGTTTCCCCCCTGTCCACTCTCCTCTTTCTTGTGACGTTCCCAGTACACTGGTGAGTGACTCGGTCACCGAGTGTGTGTATGTGTTCTCTGTAATTCTTCTGTTTTAGAAGGATCTCGTGTTGTGAAAGGTGGGGCCAGTGCCAGCAGTATTGTAGGCTGTGAAAGGTGGGGCCAGTGCCAGCAGTATTGTAGGCTGTGAAAGGTGGGGCCAGTGCCAGAAGTACTAAAGGCTGTGAAAGGTGGGGCCAGTGCCAGCAGTATTGACGGTTGTGAAAGGTGGGGCTCAGTCCCAGCAGCATTCAAGGCGGGAAGGGAATTATCATGGGGAAAGCGACAAGCCATTGCGCCAAGCACAAGGCGATTTAATATTTGGGAACATCGTCGTAGAATGTCTGGGATTTGTGGTTTTCATAATCCACACTATTATGTTCCTGGGTTGAACGTCAGACGTCGCTGACATCAGTGTCAGACGTCGCTGACATCAGTGTCAGACGTCGCTGACATCAGTGTCAGACGTCGCTGACATCAGTGTCAGACGTCGCTGACACACACACACACACACTACTTTACACATCGCTTCCGTCGTCTTGTATTCAGTTTATGTTCCGCGTTTGATCCACAGAGCTGTGCTTGATGGAGTTGGTAAAGGTCAGAGAGAGAGAGAGAGAGAGAGAGAGAGAGGGAGAGAGAGAGAGAGAGAGAGAGAGAGAGAGAGAGAGAGAGAGAGTCTAGACCTGGGACTAAAGGTCTAGAGATGGGCTGGCAGTCCATTTCGCCGCCAGTACTTCATTCGTTTCTTGCTTCATGGCTCCGATAGTCACTTTATCTTCCCTTCCATGTACCCTTTACATCTCTCTCTCTCTCTCTCTCTCTCTCTCTCTCTCTCTCTCTCTCTCTCTCTCTCTCTCTCTCACTCTCTCTCTCCCCCCCCCCGACCCAATATTACGAGACTGAGGTCTTGAGCACAATATTATGAGAGAGAATCCTGTCGGAGTGACTTGGGCGGCCCTAGTTACACTAATCTACCACGTTTGCCGCCATTTTCTTTCTCGCTTTCCTCCCCTGCTCCTCGCTTTCCCGCGTTTTCCTTCACTCTTCCTCACTCTCTCTCTCCTTTGCTCGCCCCTCACTCTTCTTCGCCCTCTCTCATCTTTCGCTTTCCCTTCCTCTCTCTCTCTCGTTCTCCTTTGCTCTTCCTGGCTCTTTCGCTCTTTCTCATGCTCTTCTTTCTCACTCTTCTGCAGCTTATCCTCCTCCTTGTTTCTCTCTAGTATTGCTGTCAGCTTCTCTCATGCTTCTTATTTCACTCTCAGAGTATCTTGCACTCGCTCTGCCTCATTCATGCTTCCCCGCATGATCTCTTGCACTCTTGGTTCGTTTATCGTATCATTCACTGCGATTCACTCATTTTTTGCCACCTTGATTCACTCGTGGCACCACTCTGAAGCCCTGTCCTCTGAAGCCCTGAAACTCTGCCCATTGTTTCTCGCCGGCGCCTGGGATCGAACCCAGGACCACAAGATCACAAGTCCAGCGTGCTGTCTGCTCGGCCGACCGGCTCCGGTCGGCGGAAAAACTTGAATTTCTTTTGAAATCTCACCAGAGATTTTCAAATCCATTTAGTGAATGGATTTTAAGAATGTCAAAATTGAGGAAATCTTTGCTGTTAGGCTAGGCTAGGTTAGGTTGGTTAGGTTAGGCTAGGCTAGGTTAGGTAGGTTAGTAGGTTAGGTTAAGGGAGCCGGTCGGCCGAGCGGACAGCACGCTGGACTTGTGATCCTGTGGTCCTGGGTTCGATCCCAGGCGCCGGCGAGAAACAATGGGCAGAGTTTCTTTCACCCTATGCCCCTGTTACCTAGCAGTAAAATAGGTACCTGGTGTTAGTCAGCTGTCACGGGCTGCTTCCTGGGGTGGAGGCCTGGTCGAGGACCGGCCGCGGGGACACTAAAAAAAAAAAAAAGCCCCGAAATCATCTCAAGATAACCTCAAGATATATATATTTTCTACTTAGATGGGGGAACCCGGGTTACCAGGGGTCGGGCTCCCCCATTCCCCCCCCCTTGTCTACCCCCTCTCTTTCCCGCTCTCCCTTCTTATCTTACTCTCTCTCTCCTCTCCCTCTCTCTCTCCCTCTTCTCTCAAAACTCCATCTCTCTCCTCTCTCTCTCTCTCTCTCTCTCCCTCTCTCTCTCTCTCCTCTCTCTCTCTCTCTCTCTCTCTCTCTCTCTCCTCTCTCTCTTCTCTCTTTCTCTCTTCTCCCCTCCCTCTCCCTCCCTCCCTCCCTCCCTCTTTTTTCTCTCTCCCTCTCCTCTCTCTCTCTCTCCCGCTCCTCTCCCTCTCTCTCTCTCTCTCTCCTCTCCGCTCTCCTCCTCGCTCTCCTCTCTCTCTCTCTCTCTCTCGTCCTCTCTCTCTCTCTCTCTCTCTCTCTCAATCATTTTAGTTTACAATTTCAGTCCGTTGCGGCAGCAGGAGAGGACGGGCTGCCCAGACAAATATAATATTATGAAACGATCATAACCCACGATTTCAGAACTCAACAAAATCGCTGGGGGTGAGTGCCAAAATTTCTTAAAGGGGGGGGGGGGGGGGTAATGTGGCCGACCCGCGACCAGCCTATAACATTCACATACCATCAACGTGTCATCTTGCAAAGTTTAGTGACGCTGCCATCCCCCTCCCTCGATCATCTGGCCTCCAACCCTGGACAACAGACGTGTTTTTTTTTTACTTATTAAATTTGGACACGTTCTGTCAGACATAAATATATGAAGAGTAAATGTTGTTTCAGAGTAGTTTGCATTAATACTATAATAATTAGAAATTAAATGGATTAAAAGTTTCAAGAAATATAAAAATAAATATGCTTTATCATTTACAGCTGTTACACAGTGACTGTATAGTGATCTATGTAGATAAATTACACATTACACATATAGTCTATATGTGTAATGGGGCTGTTTGCAACTAGAACTTCAGTAACTATTAGCATCTTTAATAATATAAGTAACAATTCTTGTACAAAATTAAATGTGTAATTTTGCTAATATGTGGGAGATGTTATTTAATTAAAGCCTTAACATGTTTTAAAAATTACGAGTTTGTTGGTTAACATGTGTAGAGCTTAGTGTTGGGTGACTCAGTAATTTTTATATTTATGGGGAGGGAGGGGGGAGGGAAGGGGGGGAGGGGAAGGGGGATGATATTCCTGGGCGGGCCCTAAGCCTCTGGCTGGCCCACTAAGTGTTGCTTGTTTCTGTTTTACTTGGGCGGAGTATGAGTATTTATGACTCGTATGTTCACTTCAGTAAGATTATGCCCCCCTGTGTTTAACAACTTCTTCTGCTCTGTGGAATCTGAATTGACATCTTATTGGGTTTGTAACTGTGCACTGTGTTAGATAATGTTCCGGTGGTCTGTTGTGGTTGTAACTGTGCACTGTGTTAGATAATGTTCCGGTGGTCTGTTGTGGTTGTAACTGTGCACTGTGTTAGATAATGTTCCGGTGGTCTGTTGTGGTTGTAACTCTGCACTGTGTTAGATAATGTTCCAGTGGTCTGTTGTGGTTGTAACTCTGCACTGTGTTAGATAATGTTCCAGTGGTCTGTCGAGCATTTCTCCACAGTGCTGACATTTCCTCTCATCTTCCGGAACCTGTAAGCCTATTTCCCATGCACATGGGTATCCATGCCTGATGCGATGTAGTGTACTTCTGTTGTTCTACTACTCCCTTTTCATCAAACTAAGTGGTTCGTAGTTGGTTGAATTCTTGTACCAACCCGCAGATCCTGATGTTTGCAACTGCTGTGTTGTGGTCACTGTACATCTTTTGCATTGCTCTTTTCTAATTACTTTCTTAATCTGTGATAGACTCTGTGGTATGTAAAGGTCTACATTTCTTCTTTTAGTTGCAAATTTTGCAGCTTCGTCTGCAATGTCATTTCCTATTATTCCCACATGACTTGGCATAAGGCATGACTTGGCATTTTGTGTTGAATGCCTTGTGTTGTGTTGAAAATAGTTTAATTCTGGATGCCCCAGTAGTCTTACGTTGAGTGACCCAGTAGTTTTGTGTTGAGTGAGCCAGTAGTTTTGTGTTGAGTGAGCCAGTAGTTTTGTGTTGAGTGACCCAGTAGTTTTGTGTTGAGTGACCCAGTAGTTTTGTGTTGAGTGACCCAGTAGTTTTGTGTTGAGTGACCCAGTAGTTTTGTGTTGAGTGACCCAGTAGTTTTGTGTTGAGTGACCCAGGAGTTTTGTGTGTGAGTGACCCAGTGAGTTTTGTGGTTGAGTGACTTAGTTAGTTTTGTGTTGCCAGGAGTGACTTTAGTAGTTTGTGTTAAGTATACCAGTAGTTTTGTGTTGAGTAGTTCCAGTAGTTTTGTGTTGAGTGACGTAGTAGTTTTGTGTTCTTTTTTCCTCAGTTCTGTGTCCAGATTACCCAGCCCAGTTGTGTTTTCTGCCTCAGTGCCCCGTGACATGGTAAAGACCTGTGTTCCAGCAATATTTATAAGTTTTCTGGAAGAGGGGTCGCAAAATCGTGGACCTTTGATGTAGACAATGTTCTTTAGTTGTGCCTATGACATCCCCTGAAGGTTCTGTGGGTCCAATCTACCCCTCCGGCATCTCTCTTTAGTAAGTTGTTACTCAATGGCTCTGGATTTATTATTTGAGTTTTCCATATATAGATTATGAGATGTTTATCATGTCTGTTCCAAAGAGAATATTTGCGAGTGTTTTTAACCTTCTCTCTACTTCTTCTTCTTCAGTATCATTCGAATTAATGTTACTCTCTCTCCATCCATCTTCTGTTCTGTATCTCACTCTCTCTTTCTCACCGTCTCGTCCTGTCTTCACCACTCTCCTCCTCCGCCTCCTCCTCCCCCGCCATCATGAATTCGCTCAGCGGTGTCACGGAGGTTTTACGTTGGGCGGGAAGGCTTCCGACGGGGCCATGCCATCACCGCCTCTTTTGCCACTATTTATGTCCCGAGCGCGGAGTGAATACATCATTGCGTCCCTCGCTCTGGGCTCCTTCTGTCTCTTCCTTACTCTCTCTCTCTCGCCTCTTGGGCCTTCGTGTGGGGTTGTTGACCCTTCGTGTGGGGTTGCTGGGCCTTCGTGTGGGGTTGTTGGGCCTTCGTGTGGGTTGTTGGGCCTTCGGGTGGGGTTGTTGACCCTTCGTGTGGGGTTGTTGGGCCTTCGGGTGGGGTTGTTGACCCTTCGTGTGGGGTTGTTGACCCTTCGTGTGGGGTTGTTGGGCCTTCGGGTGGGGTTGTTGGGCCTTCGTGTGGGGTTGTGTGGGCCTTCGGGGTGGGTGGGGTTGTTGGGCCTTCGTGTGGGGTTGTTGGGCCTTCGTGTGGGGTTGTTGGGCCTTCGTGTGGGGTTGTTGGGCCTTCGTGTGGGGTTGTTGGGCCTTCGTGTGAGGTTGTTGGGCCTGCGTGTGGGGTTGTTGGGCCTTCGTGTGGGGTTGTTGGGCCTACGTGTAACCCCACACGTAGGTTACAGGTATACCGCTGGAAGATATACCAGCCTTCCATCGGTATACCAGGCAGGGTGGAGGATATACCAGTTACTGTGAACATTGGCAGCTGTGGCCGGGATGATGATATATGTACATCATCCACTGTCACTTAGAAGTGGTCATGATGATGGTGAGTGACGGTGATCTCACCGGTGAATGATGGTGTTTAAAGGTTATGGATCTCTTGAAGCTCCTCCGCTTCCGGACAGGAACCGAAATTGAAATTGAAATAAGTTTATTGAGGTAAAATACACACAAAGGGATGAGGTAGCTCAAGCTATTCTCAGCCCGTTCAGTACATCGTGTTAATACATACATAGACACACATCACAAACAATAAACATATTACCAAACATTCTGAGAGATAAACATATACATTTCCTCCTTCACAAGTAGTATGGTATCAGACGTACACATAAATACTTTTATGACCTAGGTGACAGGAACCGAGGACGCAGCAGGCGTTTCCCCTCTGGATCGCCACACTGAGGCGCAGAAACAAGAAACTGGAAGCTCTTGGGTCTCTGGTGACGTCAATGAGCTTGGAGCCCAATTCCTTGAGAAATCCCAAGGCACTCTTGCCCCAGGGGCCATGCGTCTCAGACGCTATGGGAACAAAGGTGTATTGACCTTTCAGTCGCCTGTATTTGAGTGATTTTGCTGTTTCCCTGTGGTTGGCCGCGCCCACCTGCTTGATCTCTCTCTCTCTCTCTCTCTCTCTCTCTCTCTCTCTCTCTCTCTCTCTCTCTCTCTCTCTCTCTCTCTCTCTCTCTCTCTCTCTGTCTGACTCTCTCTCTCTCTCTCTCTCTCTCTGTCTGTCTGTCTCTCTCAATCTCTCTGTCTGTCTGTCTCTCTCTCTCTCTCTCTCTCTCTCATCTCTCTCTCTCTCTCTCTCTCTCTCTCTCTCTCTCTCTCTCTCTCTCTCTCTCTCTCCTCTCTCTCTCTCTCTCTCTCTCTCTCTCTCTCTCCTCTCTCTCTCTCTCTCTCTCTCTCTCTCTCTCTATGTCTGACTCTCTCTCTCTCTCTCTGTCTGTCTCCTCTCAATCTCTCTGTCGTCTGTCTGTCTCTCTCTCTCTCTCTCTCTCCTCTCTCTCTCTCTCTCTCTCTCTCTCTCTCTCTCTCTCTCTCTCTCTCTCTCTCTCTCTCTCTCTCTCTCGCTCTCTCTCTCTCTCTCTCTCTCTCTCTCTCATATATATATATATATATATATATATATATATATATATATATATATATATATATATATATATAATATAATGGCACTTCTTGCATTGAAGTAATCTCTTATTTAGTATTTGGACAAATATGTATATGTATATCATACGTTTGCATAGATATAGATGGTATTTGTATATGTATATGTGTGCATCCATATATATATGTTTATTTCTATCCCTTTTCTCTTCCTTCTTTTCGCTTACTTTCCTCTCTCTTTCCTCGCCTCTCTCTCTCTCTCCCTCCCCGCCTTCCCATCCCCCCCCCGTCTCCCTCCCCGCCCCCTCCTCCTCCATCAAGACAGCTTCCACTTCTCATTCATCCCTAAGTGAGGTTCTGGAATTTCACTCCTCGTTGATCCTGTGTGTGGAAAATTCTGTATATTTGAGAGGGAGAGAGTAAGGCGGGGGGGGGGGGACCCATCCGTCTTGGCGGGCGCCTGATGTGTGTTTTACGACGGGCCAGAGCCACTGGGGATGAGACCACCGGCCCCCCAGTGGCACACCCTGGCCCTCTGGGGATCTGGGGATCTGGGCATTTGGGGATCTGGGGATCTGGGGATCTGGGTATTTAGGGATCTGGGGATCTGGGGATCTGGGAGGTTAGTGCCTCCTGTTATGTTTACTGTTCTCAGGGAAGTGTCGAGGTGGAGCTGTTGTAGTTTTCTTTTGTTTGTTTTTGTTTAGGCGCGCATGATGATGGTGGTGATGGTGGTGGCGGCGCTGTTGGTGATGGTGGTAGTGGTTGTGCATTTTTTTTGTACTGTTGTTGGTCAGTGTTGTAAAAGTTGTAGGGGTGTGTGTGTGGGACTTTTGTAAACAGTGATGAAAGTTTCACGTATTTGTGATGTAATATTGGGAGGGAACAGACTCTAACTCTTGGACCCCCATCCATAGGACAGAGTACTTTGACGTCACAATCCCCAACGGACTAAATATGGTGTACTGTAAATCATAGCGGCTCGCAAACGCTCACGTTTTCTATGAGTGGTTAAGTTTGGTTCGGGCAGTAGTATAGTACATCATTTGTGTGACGTTGTGAGCAATGGAGAGGGCAGGCTGCTTAGGGAGTGGCGGCTCACTCTGGCATACAGTCATATCTGGAGTCTGTTAATACTGTTTCCACCTGTTGACAACGCCAACACTGACGGAGTGCTTCTTGACAACGCCTACACTGACGGAGTGCTTCTTGACAACGTCCACACTGACGGAGGGCTTCTTGACAACGTCCACACTGACGGAGGGCTTCTTGACAACGTCCACACTGACGGAGGGCTTCTTGACAACGTCCACACTGACGGAGGGCTTCTTGACAACGCCCGCACTGACGGAGGGCTTCCTGACAACGCCCGCACTGACGGAGGGCTTCCTGACAACGCCCGCACTGACGGAGGGCTTCTTGACAACGCCCGCACTGACGGAGGGCTTCTTGACAACGCCCGCACTGACGGAGGGCTTCCTGACAACGCCCGCACTGACGGAGGGCTTCCTGACAACGCCCGCACTGACGGAGGGCTTCCTGACAACGCCCGCACTGACGGAGGGCTTCTTGACAACGCCCGCACTGACGGAGGGCTTCTTGACAACGCCCGCACTGACGGAGGGCTTCCTGACAACGCCCGCACTGACGGAGGGCTTCCTGACAACGCCCGCACTGACGGAGGGCTTCTTGACAACGCCCACACTGACGGAGGGCTTCTTGACAACGCCCGCACTGACGGAGGGCTTCCTGACAACGCCCACACTGACGGAGGGCTTCTTGACAACGCCCGCACTGACGGAGGGCTTCCTGACAACGCCCGCACTGACGGAGGGCTGCTTGACAACGCCCACACTGACGGAGGGCTGCTTGACAACGCCCACACTGACGGAATGCTTGTTGCACATACAAGCATGTTATCCTGTTTATGTGTGCCTCCGGTGTGAGTGTCGGAATTATATCCATTTCCAGATCCTTCTCTGTTTCTGGTTCCTATATCTGCGTTCCTCTTATGGTGTAGATCCCTTTTGGTCTCCTTCCTTTCCCATCTTCACTACCTTACACGTGTTGGAATTGATTTCCAGGAATCATTTGTTTCCCGCCAAACACACACACCGAAACTACGACGTTGCTACAACGTTCGAACAAGTTTTAACACCTCCTAACCAGTTATAACAACCAATATAACAAGTTGTAACAACGTTCTAATACGTCATTAACACGTTAAGCCAAGATGTAACAACTTTATTACAAGTTGTAACAAGCGGAAAATAGAGACAGTTACGGTTTGTGTTTCCAGGGTTGACATTCCTGAAGTTTGTCAAGGTCTTCCTGTAGCTTCCTGTAGTCCTCATCTTTTACACGTTCATCAGTTTTGTATCATCTCAGACACTGACATGTCTGAACTCACTCTCTCAAGAAGGTCGTTCACATAAATTAGGAACAGCAGCGGTCCCAGGACAGAGCCTTGTGGGACCCCAGTTCTTACATTCCTCCGGTTTGTAATCTCTCTGACTGTGACTCTTTGCTTTCTGTCTTTCAGATACTTTGTTACTCAGTTCGCTGTTTTCCCAGTTATCCTAGCCTGCGTCTCTGTCTTGTGTGTGTGTATTCACCTAGTTGTATTCACCTAGGTGTGCTTGCGGGGGTTGAGCTCTGCTTTTTCGGCCCGCCTCTCAACTGTCAATCAACTGTTTCTAACTACTACTACTACTATTTTCTTCACATCACACACGCACACCCCAGGAAGCAGCTCGTGACAGCTGACTAACTTCCAGGTACCTATTTACTACTAGGTAACAGGGGCATAGGGTGAAAGAAACTCTGCCCAATGTTTCTCGCTGGCTCCCGGGATCGAACCCGGGACCACAGGATCACATGTCCAGCGTACTGTCCGCTCGGCCGACCGGCCCCCTGTGTGTGCGCGTGCGTGCTTTGCGTGTACGTGCGTGCGAGAAAGGTATAAATATATGCAGTAAAAATATGTAAAAAATAAGTAAAAATATATGCAGGAAAATAGGTCTGGAGTGAGTAAATTAGACAACCGAGAGCTAGAAAGGCGGGGTCCAAGAGCTAACAGCTCGATCAGGCAGGAACATATAGTAAACACATACACACAAGACTAAAAAACGGTACAAGAATATGCAACAATTAAAGCCAGTTCCTGAGCTACGAAGACAGACTGAAGGAACTGACCCCTCGCTACACCGGAGGAAGGAAGAACTAGCTGGGCAGACATAACAACTGAGAGGTTCACAAAGGAGCAACAGAAACACTGTTCAAATTAAGGAACAGTAGAACAACAGAGCATAACTGGAAACAGATGCATCACAGACAAGGAAGAAATAACTTTTATCTTCCGTCTTTAGTGTTTTTTTCTGCCCGAAACGCTTTGCGTAATAGTGGCTTTAGGCATTGTATGTACTAGCTCTATCTATAAATCCATCAATGTTTGTATCACACCTTGTATGTATGTACTTTACCTGAATAAACATTTGAATCTAAATTTGAATTTGAACTTGTTCAGCCTTAATGTTGTAAATGAGCGAGACGGTCTAGACGAGGAAGTTGACGCCAGTTTGAATCACAGTTTTATATGTAAATATGTTAAGACAATAAATATGTTTAAGGTGAAACTCACTACATTGAACTACTGATGGTCGAAAGATGGGGGAGGGATGTTTAGAGTAGCTGCTCGAACCTGCGTCCACAACTTGGGGAGTACACCTGCATAAAGTTGGGACATGATAACGACGTATAAGATTTTAAGTGGGACCGACAAAGCAGGTAAACCAACGTTCATAATGTAGAAGTGATGAACGAGGGAAGATATGGGAGGGAACAGAAGAACGGAAGGGAACAGAATGAGGGGAGGACACTATTGGAAACTGGAAACGCAAATGAGCCAGAGGGAGATAAGAAGGACTGACTTTAGCGTGAGGGGGAGTGAGCGAGAGGATTGCATTAGGTAAGGTGGATAGTGGAGACGAGCTCCATTATGGGTATAAAAATACATAGTATAGTAGAGAGGAACTGTATCAAGACTGTATATGGTTCAAATTGGGGGATCCATGAGCTGAAGCTCAGTCCCGCTAACACAACAAGATGTGCACAAATGCTGGGTCCTAGAGCTGGAGCAGCTTATACCAGGTAAGAATAACCAGGAGAAAAGGTGAGGCAGAAGAGACATGATTACGAAGTAAATGATACTGGTTCCAAAAAATAAGAAAAAAAGGAAAACCCTCTCAAAAGAAACAAGAGTTGTTGGAGGTGGTGCCGCGCGAGGTAATTACAAACCCGGCAGTTTAGTCTCTCAGATGTACCCAAGGTTCACCTCTTCACCTCACGTCCATCGCTCTGATTGACAAACTTCTGAAAACCTTTCGATGCGAATTATCAGCGATGAAATTCCTTTTAGCAGTTCGTCCCCCCCAAAGACGGGTCGAGAAAAATTGCATTAGCGCTCTTTGATCCGTTTTGAGTTTCTGTCCTTAACGAAAATTTAATTCATTGGAAAAGTTAAAGTCTGGGAATTATAAAGAAAAAAAATTATAGACACACGTGCACACTCACGCACATTCCAACACACACACACACACACACACACACACACACACACACACACACACACACACACACACACACACACACACACACACACACACACACACACACACACGCAAGGTGATGGAGAAGATTGTGAGAAAAAACCTAGTAACACATCTGGAGAGAAGAGACTTCGTGACAACCCATCAACATGCGTTCAGGGAGGGTAAATCTTGCCTTACAGGATTGATAGAATTCTACGATCAGGTGACAAAGATTAAACAAGAAAGAGCAGGGTGGGGGGACTGCATTTTTTTGGACTGTCGGAAAGCCTTTGACACAGTACCCCATAAAAGGTTGATGCATAAGCTGAAGAAACAGGCAGGAGTAACTGGTAGGGCGCTCCAGTGGATAAGGGAGTACCTAAACAATAGGAAGCAGAGAGTTACAGTGAGGGGTGAGACCTCAGACTGGCGGGAAGTCACCAGTGGAGTCCCACAGGGCTCTGTACTTGGACCTATCCTGTTTCTGATATACGTAAATGATCTCCCAGAGGGTATAGACTCATTCCTCTCAATGTTTGCTGACGACGCCAAAATTATGAGAAGGATTAAGACAGAGGAGGACAGCTTGAGGCTTCAAGAAGACCTGGACAAGCTGCAGGAATGGTCGAACAAATGGCTGTTAGAGTTTAACCCAAGCAAATGTAATGTAATGAAGATAGGGGTAGGAAGCAGGAGACCAGATACAAGGTATCGCTTGGGAGATGAAATACTTCAAGAGTCAGAGAGAGAGAGAAAGACCTGGGGGTTGATAACACGCCAGACCTGTCCCCTGAAGCTCATATCAAGAGGATAACATCAGCAGCATATGCCAGGTTGGCTAACATAAGAACGGCCTTTAGAAACTTGTGTAAGGAATCTTTCAGAACATTATATACCACATATGTCAGACCAATCCTGGAGTATGCGGCTCCAGCATGGAGTCCATATCTAGTCAAGCATAAGACTAAACTGGAAAAGGTTCAAAGGTTTGCCACCAGACTAGTACCCGAGCTGAGAGGTATGAGCTACGAGGAGAGACTACGGGAATTAAACCTCACTTCGTTGGAAGACAGAAGAGTTAGGGGGGACATGATCACCACATTCAAGATTCTCAAGGGAATCGACAGGGTTGATAAAGACAGGCTGTTTAACACAAGGGGCACACGCACTAGGGGACACAGGTGGAAACTGAGTGCCCAAATGAGCTACAGAGATATTAGAAAGAACTTTTTTAGTGTCAGAGTGGTTGATGTTACCTATCGTACGTTACGGCTCGTGATCCTACAGCAGCCAAACTTTAATAAGTCTAGGGATACGACACAACTGCTGTTCTCAATAGCGAATCACCAGTATAACCCCTTAATGGGTAATGAGCATAAAATAGAATCTTCATAGGACTGAAGAATAAAGATACTAAGTATAGATATATACTATTATATTAAATAAATCTCAAAAGCAAACAGATGATTATATGGTCACAATATATCACATTAAAAATATCACTGTAACTTCCAGACATTAAATCAATACTAAGAATAATTATATGGCTAGAACAAAAGAATGACTTAACTCCAAGATGATATCTCCCTGGTTTCTGCTCAGCTACTGAACTACAATATGCGAGTCAAAAAACACATTGCCTTGCCCCGCGAATAAATTGCCAAAGTTACAATATTTATTATTTCAACAATGGAGCACTACATTGTGACAAGAGTAATCTTAAACTAACTTAATGAATAATTAGTACATATTGATATAGACAACAAAAGTACGTGTTTCTTTACATAGTAATTAAAATATGCATACAGAAGGAAATAATGGCATGCACACCCCAGCAACGGACGATCCCACGACAATTTGCCAGATACAGTTCACTCAATTATTATTTCACTCTGTTACCCACTTATGATCACATATAAATCATTAGTTCCCGTGGGAAAACTGATCACACAAAGAAATAAACAATCATTCCCACGATACGCTGGGCCTAACGCCAACACTGTAACATGAATGTGCATTTGCATAGAACATAAGTATAACAATATACATGCTTGTAATTTACATACAATTATAAATGTACATATTAATATATTCACTTACGTATCTTATAAGGGTACGTAACACTTCCACCTCCAAGAAAAAAAATGCAATGGATTGAAGATCAATGGCATTTTTTCAGAAGTAAAAATGTTAGGTAAAAAGAAACATTTCATTTATGGTACATCAAAACTTCTTGACAAAGCATCAGCAATAACATTTTGTCTGCCTGGAATATGTTTGATTTCTACATTAAATTCCTGCAAAAACAATGACCATCG